GAAAGAAGAGAGCATCCCTAGTGTGGGAGGAGCATTATACCCTGAATTATTTCATTCCTTCCTAAGTTACACTTAGGGGGAGAATGATGAATTGGTACAGCATAGGAGGATAATGAGGTCATCCAAACTGATGGTATGCCCAGCACAGGGTATATGAGCATGAATTAGGTAGTGAGAATATCCATACAAATGAAGAAAGGTAGCCTGACATCTCAAGTAGACTGAAGAAAGTTTCTGCATAAGAGGGAAGCTTGATTTAGACTATCAGAGCCCAAGAGAAATAAGAAGACTTTCTGCATAAGAATGTTAGTCAGTATGGGGTACTTACAAAGGCAGAGTAAGGATAGGCAGTGGTGAGAGACTGATCACATACAGGAGGGATGGACCCAAATGTCAATATATTAAGGAAAATGAATTTCTCATCAAGTTTCTTATAATTGGCAGGGAATAGAGGTATTAATAGTGGAAAATGGAAAAACTAGCTTGAGCCCTGTGATAGCACATTGAAATTGGAGGTAGTGCAGTAAACTCATGATAAACTCATCTATATTCACATACAGATGAATACAGAAATAAATACAGAGGTAAATACATATACCTATATACTTATTTATAGAAATACATTATTATTATACCCTAGCCATGAGAAGGTTTGGGAGCAGTGTGATACTTCATCAGTATACCAAGTGTCCAAATCTTGACTACTAAAAACTGTTCCCTATTAAAGTGAACCAGGACTTCTGGAAGAAACAGCTGATTCAAAAGCAGGGGCAAGGAAAGTACAAGAAAAGCCTGATTTATTGTATTTGACCAGAAAGAGATAAAGTGCTCAAAGAATAATGAGTACATTTCCAAAGGACATAGAATCTAATTAGAAAGGATGTCCACTGGTCAAATCTGAGATAATTTGGTAATCAAATAAAAGCCTGATAGACACTACCTCAGGCAAAGGAGTAAGGTTGACTTACGCAAATGAAACAATGAAAATTGTGTGCCATCTGGTAAAATGCAATGAGGAGAACACGATACCTGATACAAAGATACTTTGCCTGAATCCAGCCATGGAAAAACATCAGAGAAACACAACTTGAGGAAGAATATCACACTTACAATTTTCAGGCATCAAGGTCATAAAAAATAAAAGCAACAGTAGGGCTGGGTGTCAGTTGCTCACGCCTGTAAAGCTACCTGGGAGGCTGAGATCAGGAGAATCTCAGTTTAAGGTCAACGTGGGCAAATAGTTCATGAGATCCCATCTCCAAGACAACCACAGCAAAATGGACTGGAGATGTGGCTCAAGGGGTGCAGCACCTGTTTTACAAGCATGAAGCCCTGAGTTCAAACCCCAGTTCTACAAAAAAATAATAAAATAAAATAAACCAAAACACTAGGGTACCACACTGGATTGAATGCTAAGGAGATTTTACAACAACAACAAAAAAAAAACCTAATCCTGTTACTATACTAAAAAATAACTGGGCTATAGACCTGAGAGGGTGAGTTGTATGCTGCATAATTATAATTCAATAAAGCTGTTTTATAACAAAAATGAATTGTGAGATAAAAGTAGAAGTAAAACTTATGAAATCACTAGCATAATGACAGGGAAGTGTGAAGGTAGTATGTTATCGTAAATTTTTGGTACCATATGTGAAATGGTATAATATTATTTGAAGGTAGATGGAATTCAGTGAAAATGTACTCTATAAACCTTAAAACAATCACTAAAATAATAAAATTCTAATTCTATCTAATGAGCCAACATAGGAAATATATCATGGAATCATAAAAAGGATGCAATCCAAAAGAATGTAAAAGGAAAAAAAAAGAAAAGATGGGCAAAAAAGATTAGACAAATAGGAAAAAAAATCAAGATGGCAGTTTTAAGTGGAAACAATAATCTTGCCAAATGGAAATGGAAAAATACTTTAACTAAAAAGTTAGATATTCTCTAGATGAATATAAAAATGAGAGCAAAATACATATTGCCTATGAGAACCCCATTTTAAACATGAAGACACAAATAAGTTAAAAACAAAATGATGGTAATGATATCCCATGCTAATAATGTCAAAAGTAAACTGGAATGGCTATATTAATATTAGACAGTATATTTCAAAGCAAAAAATATTATTGGAGATGAAGAGGGTCATTTTATAAAAAATAAAGGAAAAAATTCATTAAGAGAACATAGCAGTTCTAAATATTTATGTACCTAGTAACAGAGCTTCAAAATAAAACTGATAGAACTGCAAGGAAAATGTACCAATCCACAATTATAGTTAGAGATGTAAAACCACTGTCTCAATGATTTATAGACTAGGCAAAAAAAAAAACAATATAAATATAAGACACTCGAAGAACACTATCAGTCAACTTGAACTAACTGACCTTTATGGTACATTCTAACAAACATCAGGAAAATAAACATTCTTGTCAAGTTCCCACAGAACACAAACCAGGACAGACCCTATTCTGAGCCATAAAAACAAGTGTCAATAAAGTCAAAAAGGTCTACATTATACCACCTTTGGTTTCTGTTCAAATGGAAATTAAAGTATAATTAATAACAGAAAAGTATCAAGAGACTCCCCAAACATTGGAAACAAAGTAACACGTTTCTAAAGAAACCCACATATCAAAAGAGAAGTAAAATTTTGGCACTTAGGAAGTATTTTGAACTTTTTTTTGTTTTGGTTTTTTAAGACACAATCTCGCTATGTTCTAAGTTACCCTAGAACTCACTATGTAGCTCAGAATGGCCTTGAACTCCTGATCCTCCTTCCTCAGTCTCCCAAATGCGGGGATTACAAGCATGTACAAACATGCTCAGCTATTTTGAATGTTTTAAATGAAAAAGTAAACATGATATATCAAACTTGTGAAATATAGTTAATGCATTATCCATAAGAAATTTTATTGGACTAAATATATATATATATATATATATATATAATATATATATATATATGCATATATATATATATTAGAAAAGAAAAAAGGTTTTGAGTCATTGACAAGTTTCCACCTTTAGAATTATGAAAAAACTGAAAACTAAGCACATAGTAAGCAGAAAAAAGATAAAACCAAAACCAATGAAACAGAGAATAGAAAAAAAGTAGAGAAATTAATAAATCAAAAGCTGATTCCTTGAGAACAATATAACCCCTAGCCAGTCAATAAGAAGCACTTTCAGATAACCAATTATCAGGAATGAAAGATCACCACTGAAAATTTTACAGATATGAAAAGCATAAGAGCCAGGCACCAGTGGCTCACACCTGTAATCATACTTGGGAGGCAGAGATCAGGAGGATCACCATTTGAGGCAAATAGCTCATGTGATCCCATCTCCAAAAATAACCAGAGCAAAATGAACTAGAGGTGTGGCTCAGGTGTGCAGTACTTGCTTTGCAAGTGCAAAGCTCTATGTTCAAATCCCAGTCCCACCAAAAAAAGGGGGAGAGGGGGAATAAGAAGGATATTATGAGCAACTTTATGTCAAAAGTTTGAAAAGTTGAGGGCTGTGAAAAATTCTTCGAAGACACAAATTCCTAAAGCTCATTCAAGAAGAAACATAACCTTAACAGCACTGTATCAGTTTAAGAAATTGAATTTTTAGTTAGAAATCTCCCTCCACAAAAAATTATAGGTTTTAATAGTTCCATTTGTGAATTCTGCCAAACATTGGTGGGAAAAATAATGTTAGTTGAATGTAAACTTTACCAGAAAATTGAAGAGGAGCAAACACTTCCAAACTCACTTTATTTTTTTAAGTTTATTTATTTATTTGGGGGGTTGAGCTCAGGGCCTTGCACTTGCTAAGTAAGTGCTCTACCACTTGAGCCACATCTCCAGCTCTTTTTGTGTTGGGTTATTTTTCAGATAGAGTCTTGCTTTTTGACTGGGACTGGCCTTGGACCACAATTCTGCCTACAGCCTCTTGCATAGCTGGGATGATAGGCATGCCTCACCATACCTCAGTTGTTTTGCTGAGATGGGGCCTCACAAACTTTTTGCACAGGCTAGCATTGAACAGGATGCCTCCTGGGATTGCAGGCATGCTACCAAGCCTGGTCAAACTCACTGTATGAAACCAGCAAATTTTGTTCCACCCATTAATTGTTTCAGGTTACATCCCACTTACTTGTATATGTTGAATTACAGGATGTTTCAATTATTTAAAGAAACTTTCAGTTTTGTGACTCCCACAAGCTAAAACTTTCCTACCTATTGACTATAAACAATCTATTTATTATAAATTTCGAGAGTATTTTCTCTATAATATGAACTAACCAAATATAAATTAGGCTTGAATGGATTTGCAAAAGTAATAAAATTTTAAATCAAATTTTACTGATGTACAAGACTTCTTTCCTTTTAAACATATGGGCAAAAATATACATGTATTTCATTAAAGTAAATATTTTTCTGTTCACTTTAAAAAGAAGAATGAAAGCCATTACTATTTTCTTTATCTATAAGCACTGCTTAAATTTGAAAAATATCCAGAGAAATATGCACATTCTAAAAGGTTAGCATATTTGAAAACTAATTGAACTTCACATTTTTATTGCTTTTGAGAACAACTTATATTCTCTGTACCTAATATGATTTTCATTTAGTTATTAGGCAAATGTTATTATAGTCTAAGTTTTTTAAAATTACATATAACTCTTTAAATATTTGATTAATGAAAATATGCCAATTCCTCAACTAAGAAACTTTTTATTGTATTGTAACGTATGACATAATATAATTTTTAAAGTTTTCTTTGGGCTGGTAGAGTAGCATAAGTGTAGAGTGCCTTCATATCAAGCATGAGGTCCTAATTCAAACCCCAGTACCACATGAAAAATTTCTTTTAAAAAGGCAAAAAACACTCCTGATATCAATAATGAAGTATTTTCCCCAAACATTTTAATTTTTTCCATTGCAACATTACATCAAGAAAAGCTATATTATATAACATATAACACAAAATGTGTATGAAACCATACCGTGTCTTGCTTTGGAATTTGGACTAGAACAGAAAGAAGCTGTTCTGTATCAAGGAATCTTGATATAACTGAAACAACCAAACAAAAACAATGTGAACATTTAAGCTTTATGGTACAGTTGCAAATAAAGATTATATAAAATATTATCCTGAATAATGAAATAGGATAATTCTACCTGCAAACACTAGTTTAAATTTCTTTCTCTTTCACATGTACTAGGAGTAAAGTAATCAATTCAAATGTTCTTTTCTTAATTTTGATTGTTCACACCCTTGCCTCAAGATTTGACACTTTGACCATCCCTTTGTTCTTGTAACTTCTTCTCTGGATTGTGATTATGCCTATCAGAATATTCATTTTTTTAATATCTACTTTTCTTTCTGATACTTAAAAGATATTTAGTTTAACAGCATAGTTCCAGTAACCATGTAGCCTTTCTAGAAGCTATCTAACTTGTCTGAACTTCTGTTAGTCTCTTCTTTTTTTTTAGAGGTAGCATACTTAATTTACTTTAAAAACTATGTAATAGATTTCTTTTTGAATACTGGAATAAAGTATATGAAAATAATATTTTTATGAAAGTCACAAAGAAAATCATTCTTTAAAAGATGCATTCAGTATTATGTAAATACCTCCACTTCTTGGTTTATTTGTTTTGTAAATGTGGATTTCTTTGTTTCAGATGTTCATCTTTTTTATTGTTATTGTGCTGGGTGGAGGCACATTGTGACATTTATGAAAGTTCTTACAATATATCAAATATATCACATTTGAATTTATCCCTTCCACCATTCTCTTTTATACCCCTCTCCCCCATTGAAAGTGGATAGCATCTATCTCCCAGAGTTGTTATGAGATATGTGCAAAGAACCTTGAATATACCATTCTTATTAGCTCATTTGTTCTACAAAAGTTTATTGATAATTTTAATTTATCTCTTTTAAATATTCCCAGGTTTTTACATCTTCCACTTATCACAGAGATCTTTGGGGAAAAAAATGCACCATTTCCCCTATACTTAATAACTAGGACTGAGACATGGCTCAAGTGGTAGAGCATTGTTGAGCAAGCACGAAGCCCTGACTTCAATTTCCAGTACCACACACACACACAAAAAGTAGTAAACTACAGTAAATTGTTTTTTTGTTTATGATACTGTGGACTAAACCTAGGGCCTCATACATGACAGGCAAGTGCTCTACCTCTTGAACCACACCTCCAGACCTTTTATTTATATTTTGTTTTTGGGATAGGAACTACACTCGAACTCATGCCTCTGCCTCTCAAGTAGCTGGCATTACAGGTGTGCACCACTATGCATCCAAAAACATTTTTGTTACTTCTGTGAATATTGACACACCCATGACAGGCAAGTTCTCTTTATTTTGAATACCATTCAAGGCAAAGATCCTCTTGTTCCCAAAAATCCTACTCCTACTCATTCCCTTAAGACTAAGTAGAAATATTATCCTTGTGAATTCTACCTGAATTCTATCTTTATCCCAATTTCGTCTTCTATGTTCCCACAAAATTACTACCTTTATCACACTGTGTCACAAATATCTTTTAAAATTTCTGGCTTCTTCACATGGATGTGAGAACAAAAACTTAAGAGCTTCTGGGAGGTTCTGGAGTTTTTATTTAAAAACTGAGATTTGGCCAGGTGCTAGTGGCTTACAACAGTAATCCTATCTACTTGGGAGGCAGAGATCAAGAGGATGGAGCTTCAAACCCAGCCTGGGAAAATAATTCGAGAGACTCTATCTAGAAAAAACCGGACACAAAAACCTGTTGGAGTTGCTCAAGTTGAGAGAGTGACTGCCTAGCAAGCATGAGACTCTGAGTTCAAACTCCAGCATCACCACCAAAAAAAAAAAAAATGAGGTTTGGATTTTTATATTTTAGTAAAATAAGCCAGGCATGGTGATGTACAGTTGTAATCTCAGCACTTGAAAGCTTGAGGTAGGAGAATCATAAGTTTGAGGCTAGCCTGCAGCACATAATGAGTTCCAGGCTCCCCTGGCCAACATAGTGAGACCCTGTCTCTAATTAATTAATTAGCTAGTTAATAATAAAAATAAAGGTTCCCCTATCTTAGTCTATGTCCTACTCCCCTGCTTTGTTACATGTTGAAATAAATTATAAACTATAAAGACATAGAAACATACTCATGTTTAATATTAATAGATACTAATTTAAAACTTCCAGTTCTGAGGAATTATAAAACTTAGAACATAAAGAAGTAAAGTTTTAAGGAAAATTCAAATTTTTCTTCAAAATCTCATCACATCAGATGTTTTCATCTTGATCTTGGGGACAATGGCATATAATTTTCAACAGATTCAACAATGAATCAGTATTTTAATAAATATGAACACCTGTTATAGTCTAAACTTATATGGCAATAATTCAACAAAACATGCATTTAGAATACAGTAAGTTAAATGCCATAACAATATACTCTAGAAAGCATATAGAAAAGATATTTAACATAGACTTGGAGAGTCAGAGAGACTTCTAGCAGAAGTGACATCTAAACTGGAATGGAAAAGGCTTAACTGAAGAGGAGCTTGAAAGGAAATTTTCAGGCCAAACCTCTGGAGAGCCAAAGCTGGAAAATGAGAGTAGATATGTTCAAAGAACTTAAGAAATTCCATTATACTAGAAAGCAAAATGGAAAGTGAGGAGTTACTGTGGGAGAAAACAGGGAAAAAGACATATAAGGAAGTGTTTAGATTTTATGTAAAAGTAAAGAGAAGAGAGTAAAGAACTGTATGCTGGTAAGTGAGGGATTTGCCTCAAAGACGCCAACTTCTTAATGCCTGGAACCTGTGAATATGTTGACTATTAAAGGGAGTTTTCGAGATGGGATTAAAATCCAGAGATAGAGAGTTGGTGATTTGTTATATCAACAACAGGAAATGAATGCAGTATGATATGCGCAGATTAGTGTTTTTGAAAGATTAGTCAGGCAAGAAAGAGCAGGATTGGAGGAAGAAGACCAAATAAGGGGGTGTCACAATAAGATGAGAATTAATGGTATCCTGGGCTGCAGCAGCAGCAATGGGAACAAAAGAAGCAGATACACTCATGAGCTATACAGAAAGGAGACTGCCGAATTTTATGGTGGATTACAGGGGAGGGAAGTGTCAAGAATGACTTCTAGGTATCTGCTTTGGATAGTTTGGATATATAGCTATTCACTAAAATCAAAAACTGATTTAGATGGCAACATGGTTTTATCAAATTGAATTTTAGGTGATTAAGGAATATCTGATAGGCATTGTTTTAGCCCATTTGAGCTGCTATAAAAATACCATAGACTGGGTGGTTTATGAACAATATAAATTTATTGCTCACAGTTTGGGAGGCTGGAAAATTCTAGATCAAGGTTCAATGTCTGGGGAGAACCTGCCTTCTGAATTATAAATGGCACCTTCTCAATGTATCTTCATACGGTAGAAGGTTTCTCTTGGGCCTCTTTTATAATGGCACTGATCCCATTCATGAGTTCAACCAGTCTGGGAAATAGAGCAAGACTCCATCTCAAAAAAATTAAAATAAAATAAAAAGATCTGGTTTGGAGGATATATAGCTCAGTAATAGAGCACTTGCCTAACCATACACAAAGCTCTGTATTCAATCTGTAGCACTGGAAAAAAAAAAAAAGACTCAAAAGGAATCCCTAAGGATGTAGGGAGAAAATTAGGACTGTTTAAGCACAGAAGTAAAGAAAGGCTGTAACTCAATAAAGAGAGACATTCAGCACATCAAATAAGACATGATCTAATGTGTCCATTAAATTTAACAATAAGCCTATTAGTAACTGTGTTGGCTGACTTCTCCAGAAAAACAGCAAGACAAAGATTAATGTGCAAGTTATTTCATGTACAAGAAGGTACTTCTGGGAGAAACCTATAGAAGAGTAAGACAAGGAGGGGAAAAGCAAAAAAGTTGAGCAAGGGTGAAATTTCAGCCAGACATGATGGTACACACTTGTAATCCTAGCATTTGGGAGATTAAGGCCTGAGAATTTCTAGTTCAAGGTCAGTCAAGGTTACATAATAGACCCTGTCTCCAAAAAAAAAAGTGCTACTTAAGGCAAAGTCCTATGGAAGCTAACTTCATCTGATCCTGCAGAGGAATTTTGGCGCTTAGTTACACAAAGATTTTCACCACATCAATATGAAAGAGTTCATACCTCCACTCCATTGGATTATTATTTAAGGGCACTTTTGATACCATGTGGTTGAGAGCAAAGCACTCTAATGGCCCCAAGGCAGGCCTCCAAAACAGTGTTCAGGCCATTAGCAGCAAGAGCACACAGAGAGATAAAAGGGATTCAAGAGGAATGAGACAGAGAAGAATCAACACTATCTGCAATAGTGACCTTGACAAAAGCAGTCTCAGTGCAGTAAACAAGACTGTAGCAGATGTAGTGATGAAAAGACCATGGTGAGTACAGAAATTCACTTCTCAAGGAGTTTGACTATGAACAGAAGAAATAAGGAGGCCACCAGAGAAAATGAAGTCCAAGGAGCGATTTCATAAAGATAGAAGAATATTAAAAAAAAGTTTTAGCTGCTAGAAAAACTGGTTAGCAGTCTGCAAAAAACTGAAACTAGATCCATGTTTATTACCCTATACCAATATTAACTCAAAATGGATCAAGGATCTTAATATCAGACTCCAAACTCTAAAGTTGGTACAGGAAAGAGTGGGAAATACTTTGGAACTAACAGGTATAAGCAAAGACTTTCTCAATGGAACCCCAGCAGCACAGCAACTAAGAGTTAGCATACATAAATGAGCCTTCATAACACTAAAAAGCTTCTGCTCAACAAAAGAAATGGTCTTTAAACTGAAGAGAACATCCACAGAGTGGGAGAAAATATTTGCCAGCTACACATCAAAGGACTGATAACCCGAATATACAGGGAACTCAAAAAACTAAATTCCCCTAAAATTAATGAACCAATAAAGAAATGGGCAAGTGAACTAAACAGAACCTTCTCAAAAGAAGAAATTCAAATGGCCCAAAAAACACACGAAAAAATGCTCACCATCTCTAGCAATAAAGGAAATGCAAATTAAAACCACACTAAGATTCCACCTCACTCTTGTTAGAACAGCCATCATTAGCAACACCACTAACAACAGGTGTTGGCGAGGATGTGGGGAAAAAGGAACCCTTTTACACTGCTGGTGGGAATGTAGACTAGTACAACCACTCTGGAAAAAAATTTGGAGGCTACTTAAAAAGCTAAACATTGATCTACCATATGATCCAGCAATACCACTCTTGGAGATATACCCAAAAGAATGTGGCACAGGTTACTCCAGAGGCACCTGCACACCCATGTTTATTGCAGCACTATTCACAATAGCCAAGTTATGGAAACAGCCAAGATGCCCCACCACTGACGAATGGATTAAGAAAATGTGGTATCTATACACAGTGGAATATTATGCAGCCATGAAGAAGAATGAAATCTTATCATTCGCAGGTAAATGGATAGAACTGGAGAACATCATTCTAAGTGAGGTTAGCCTGGCCCAAAAGACCAAGAATTGTATGTTCTCCCTCATATGCGGACATTAGGTCAAGGGTAAACACAACAAGGGAATTGGTCTTTGATCACATGATAAAGCAAGAGCATACTTGGGAGATATGAGGATAGGTAAGACATGCAAAAAACTAGATAGCAATTGTTGCCCTCAATGCAGAGAAACTAATGCAGATACTTGAAAGTGACTGAGGCCAATAGGAGAAGGGGACCAGGAACTAGAGAAAAGGTTAGGTTGAGAAGAATTAATTTGGAAGGTAACACACATGCATAGGAAAGCAATGCAAGTCAACTCCCTATATAGCTATCCTTATCTCAACTAGCAAACCCTTGGTCCTTCCTATTATTGCTTATACTCTTCTTCAACAAAATTAGAGATAAGGGCAAAACAGTTTCTGCCTGGTAGCTGGGGGGAGGGGGGGTTGTGTGCGGAGAAAGGGGGAGAAATGACCCAAACCTTGTATGCACATATAAATAAAAGAAAAAAAATGTTTTAGTCTTCGTGGAAGGAGTCCACAGAGAGAAAGATAATGAAGATGTAGGAGGAAATCCAGGGAAAGAATGAGATGTAGAGCACAGGTGGAGGAATTTGCTATGGACAGGAGAACAGGAATATTAGTTCCAAAAGGATTAAGGGACAGAAAAATGGTAAGTATACTGCATATTTGGTAAAAGAAAGTTTTTTTTAAAGGCCATATTTGGTGCTTGATCAACACTCATGACTAAATAACTTTTCTTATTCCTGGTCTGAAGACATCACACTGCATGCTAGATATAGACAGTCCAACAGATGTCACTGAACAACAAAAGGGTTACCAGTTAAAAATTTCTTCTTTCTACCTTTCCTATTGTTTCACTAATACACAAAGATAAACAGAAAAAAAGAATATACTCTACAACATTGGAAATGCTGAGAAATAGCCAATACAATACCAAAAGTTTGAAAGAATTATAGTAATTAAAAGTTATTTGGAGTTGGACTGGCAAAAACCTACTTAGGCTAAAAATGTGTTCTGAATTTTCATGTATAACATTAGTTTAAACTACCAGAACATAAGGTGAGGTAGTGAAGGAAGCATGGAAAGCAGAACAAACTGTAAACAACTAAGAATTGGACTAGGATCAGTGCATATAAGCTGTTCTTCCACCTACAGATTTAAGAAGAAAATTGTGCCATCATGCCAGGGAACAGTTAGCCACATTCCAAGAGCAATTTTCTTATTTCATATCATAAGCTAAACTGTGTCCTCCAAAAAAATCTTGAAAGCCTAACTCCTTGTACCATACCTATGAATACAACCTTGTTTAGAAATTGAGTTTTTGCAGATACAATGTAGTTAAACCTTAATCCAATATGACTGAAGTCATTATAAGAAGACAATGTAACATAGAAGAAGACAAGACGACATCCAAGGAAAACACAGACAACAGAGGTAGATAATGGCCTGATAGAGCTGCAAGCCAAAGCACTCCATGGACTCACAGTGACCACCAGAAGCTAGGAAGAGACGAAGAAGGATTCTCCCCTCCAGGTTTCAAAGGGAATATGGCCCTACCAACACTTTTGATTTCAGCTTGTAGTTTCCAGAACTGTGAGACTAAAAAAGGGTTGTTATTTTAAACCAGAGAGTATAGGACACTTTTAAACAGAAATTCTAGAAAACTAATATACTGGATCTGCTGACAATTACCTAATCTAGAGGGTAAGTCTTACCTTCTTTAAGAATTACTGAGAAAAACAATTGCAAAGTATTGATTAAAAGAACTCATAGGAGCTAGATGCAAGGGGCTCATGCTATTCAGGAGGCTGAGATCAGGAGGATTATAGTTTGAGATCAGCCTAAGGAAAAATGATCAAGAGACACCCCCCCTCCGCCATCTCAACCAATACCTGGACATAGTAGCATGGTCCTATCATACCAACTATATAGCAGGCTGAGATCAGGAGAACGGTGCTTCCAGGTCAATCTGGGCAAAAGAGTTCATGAGACCCCATCTCAACAGAAATAGCTGGGCATGGTAGCCTGTGCCTGTCATCCCAGTTATGCTGGGAAGCATAAAATAGGAGGTTTGTGGTCTGGGCTGTCCTGGACAAAAAGCAAGACACTATTTCAAAAATAACTAAAACAAAAAGGGCTGGAGGCATAGCTCAAGTAGTAGAGCACCTGTCTAGCAAGTGTGAAGCCCTGAGTTCAAACCCCAGTACAGCCCAAACACCTCCCCTTTCCTGCCAAAAAAAAAAAAAAAAAACACAGAAAAAGGAAAAGGTTACCATCCAAGGAATCAAAACATAAAACATATTTCTGAAATTATTTACCATAAAATTCACAGGAAACCTACAATTCTAGCTACTGGAGAGTCTGAGATTGGGATAATTACAATTCAAGGCCAAAATGGGGAAATAGTTCACTAGACTCCATCTCCATATTATGCACTCATGTATGAAAAATGGAAAAATGAGACTTATTGAAACTATTCTAAGAATGGGGGGAAGGAGCATAAAGGAATGATGGAGGGGGTGAATTTAACTAAGATATTGTAAGCACTTTGTGTCACAGTGTGCCCCCAGTACAACATAATAAAAAATATAAAATTACAAATTTCAAAATGAAAAAATAATAACCAGAGGAAAAAACTAACTGCAGGTGTAGCTCAAGTGGTAGAGCACCTGCTTTGCAAGTGCAAGTCCTAAGTTCAAACCCCAGTACCACTAAAACAACAACAACAGAAATAATTGGGAAATTTTCAGAAAGGTAGCTTCCATACAAGAATACAAGAAGTTGCACCTTCACTGCCAGTCTTTCAGAAATTTAGAAAGAAATAACTGCTTACATTTTTTAATAATTTGTACTTATAAAATTAGATGATATTCATTTACCTGACTGAAGTCCAAAAAAGAGCTCCTCATGTTGAAGTAGTTCTTGAACACAGTCTAATCTCATGTTAATGGTTTCAATATCAACCAGGGGTTCTAAAATATTAGAACGGAGTCTTCTACTACCTCCAGGAGTCTTAGTGTAATTTAAAACACCAAAAAGAGTGTGATTGTTCCTTTCAAAATACAAATTGGGAAATTTCATTAAGTATATAAAGAGAAATCCAAGAAAATTGCATTTTAACTTTACAGATGAATACTGTAATCTACCTCAGTGATTCTCCAACTTTATTGGGCACATATATTGCATGGGGATTCTAAGTCAGTAGATCTGGGATAAGGCCCAAGAACCTACATTTTGAACATGTTCCCTGAAATGGTGTCTTTCAGTGCACCACACATTGATTAAAAGTACAATAGTATCTCCTAGCACTTGGTGACTTTTTCCATAGATTAGCTACAATATTCATGCTAATATAAACTTTTCTAATCTGTAACATTCTATGGACATCAACAATAAATCCTTAATGAAGCGAGACTTTTACACTGGTAAAAATGAATGTTTAATCTAATCACATTTTCTTATTGAAGAAATTAGAGAAGAATTACAAGTGAAGAAGAATTTCATTAATTTCTAAGTGATTTTTTTTTTAGTATTTATTTATTTATTGGCAGTATCAGGTTCAGAACTCAGGGCCTCAAACTTGCTCAGTAGGTACTCCACACCCTTGAGTCACACCCCAGCCCTCTATGATTCTTACAAAGAAATCAGCTACTGTTAAAGAAATGCATTTCACCAAACTCTCTGTGAGACTGTTATGATGAATGCAACATATCTAGCTCATTGTAGTAGTTAACAAATACTTGCTGAGTCGTTATAGTATTCTAAACTCATGCTAAGCCCAGAGTGCACAATATAAACATGATTTCTACCTTCGTGAAACTTACAGTCCAGTGGCTAATTAATTTTCACCAGTTTACTGGCCAGGACTGAGGACAAGATAAAGAGTAGGGGGAGGCAGACAATAAACACACATCATATAAGGAAAAAATAATTTCATGTATAGAAACTGCTTTTTAACAATGCACAGGAATGATCAGGATGGTTGCTTTAGTAAGGCTGGTTGAGATAGACATTTCCGTGTAATTTGACAGTTGAGTTAGACAGCAATGACAGAAAAGGAAACAGAAAAACAAAAATGATAATAAGGATAGCTAACATATGTTGAACACTTAGTATGAAACAGGAATTGCTCTAAGCACTTTCTATATATTAACTTGTTTAATTCTAATAACAATGGCATGAGGTAAGTGCTACTATTAGCCATATTTTTTGGGCAGTTGGCACTGTGGTTTGAACTCAGGGCCTTAGGTAGACTCTCTTACCACTTGAGCCACTCCTCCAGTCCTCATTAACCCTATTTTATAATTAAGGAACTGAAGCACAAGGAAATTAACTAACTTGTCTAAAATTTCCAAGAAAGTAGCAGAGCAGCAACCTAAGCCTAGCAAGTCTGGCTCCAGAACTAGAAAGCAGATCAAGATTGGTAGGGAGATGAATGAAGAAGTTGATAGACAGCAGGACACAGAAGTCCTTATAGGTCCTTATAGGTCATGGTAAAGAGACTGGATTCTATTCTAAATGTATCAGGAACTACAAAAAGGTTTGCAGGAGAGTTAGAAGATCTTGTTTCTCAAAAGTATGGCCCTCTGGCTGCTATGTCGAGAATATACTAACTGTAGAAGGGCAAGAAGAAGACAGAGAGACAAGTCAGGAGGCAGCCTAAAGATTGAAGAGGATTGGGTTAGGGTGCTAGCCTTAGAAATGGTGAGAAGTGATCTAGAATTGGTATAGACTCTGAAGGCTAAATCAAGAGGATTTATAGATGACTGAATCTGGGGTACAAGAGAGAGGAAATAAGAACAACCTTTTTTTTTTTTTTGCAGTACTGGGGTTTGAACTCAGGGCCTCATACTTGATAGGCAGTGATTTCTCACTTGAGCCAATCCGTCAGCCCAAGAATGACTCTTAAATTTTAGTCATTAGACTACTAGATTATGGGCATACCAATTTAAACAAAATTTGGGGAACTACTCAAGTCATCTGGTTAGGGATCTCATCACATGCACAATTTTCCTGATTTTTGAGCACATGGTTTCTGCAGGAACAAAGGAAGTAAGGCACACTCTGGAACCTAACATTTCCAATAGAAATTAATGAGTATAACAAGTGACAAGTCATAGAAGCATTAAAGCTACTCAGATAGTTCGGTGAACATCTTTTAAACTAAGATTCTTTGGTTCTAATCTATAAAAAGCTTTCTTAACTCCTCCTTTTCAACTATAATATGAACTCCTGGAAGTTAAATACTCTCTTAAAACACTATATCCCTAATAAATAGAAGGAACTAAGCAACGTTTGACAATGATAAAGTATAAAACCTGATAAGGTAAAATTGAATGTAAAACATTTTGCAATAATTACCACAGTTGGTCACTGAACATAACATAAGAAAAACAATAGAAAATCAATAATAGAGTAATTTTAACCCACATTCTAGTGGGAGTGAAGTGATATCTAACTTAATTTGCATTTCCCTAATGACTAGTATGATGTTGAATATCTTTTCACATCACTTATTGTTATTGAAACATTGTATTGGCCACTTGTTTATCTTTTTGTGAGAAAAGTCTATGAAGGTCCTCAGTCCAGTTTTAACTATGTTTTTTGTGTTTTTGTTGTTTAGTATCAATGTTAGTTTAAAACCTGATTTTTGTGAAACATTTGAGTAGTTTAGCAAGGATAGTACACTGATTAAAAAGTTTATTCAGTATTTCTCCACCAATCAATTTAAAGAACTTTTAAGTAACTAGTCATTGACAATAGCGTATTTAATATACTAGTAATTGATAATAAAGTGTTTAATATAGTAATATATTTTTAAGAGAAAATTGGATGATCTTACCTAGAATCTTGGTTATTAATTAGCAATTCGAGGTTTTGGGCTGATGATGAATCTATCATAGCTGTCTGTTCACTGCCCTGGAAACAAACCTTCAGCGATTTTGGTGCATAAACTGAATTTTGAATAAATTCAACATATTTTAACAAAGCTGCAACAGCTGCAAGGCAGTAATACCTGTAAGGTGACCAATGATATAACATTATGTCTTTATAATAAAAAAAAACCCTACTGCCTCAGAAAGAAACACTCCACCTTAATATTAGAAAAATTATAAATATTTGTATAGAATCACTTAAATTCAAAGGGAAGAGGTATATTAAATATACTTAACTTTTGTAAGTTAGGTAAATAAAATAACCTCTAATCCATAAAGTTTATAAAAACATAATTTTTTGGGGTCTGTCTCTTAAGGAATGGCAGATTCAAAAAAATCACTTGTTAGAAAATAACATTCAATGGTAATTTGTATCAATTTTTGATCTATCTTTCTAAGTGTGCAAATAATTAAAAGTCTGAGACTTTAAAGGGATAGTCAGGAAGTCTCAATGTATGGGCAAAAATGTTACCATCCCTAGAAGAACAGAAATTGTAATTAACTTAAAAAACAGGTTATCTAAAATGACTCAATAAAATTGTTTTGCACGTTCTAAGAAATATCTGTTCCAAAACTATTCTCTATGTCTCATGCTGAATCTTTTTAGGAGTAAAGTATGAAATAATAGAAATAGAATTTTAGCTAAGTTTCATTCTGAGACTTTAGTATACTGCAATTACTTGAGGTTTTTACTCCAAAGTATACAATGAGCAGCCACAATTAGGGCAATAGATTATGACAAATTTGGAGAAATTCTGTGCAAATTAAATGAGCACTATCTGCCTTATGTATAAATTTCAGTTAACTGTCCTACTATTTCAATAATAACTAACTGTCTACTATGAACCAGGCACTTTTCCAGGTGCCTTGGGGGAACTCACACTAGAAACTTATCTTTTTTCTTAAGTCATAACTTACTTGGATTGAACCTCCATTAGAACAGAGCTGAATTCTGCTATGCATAACTGCTCAATGTACTCCAATCCTTTTGTTTCATTGAAGTATTTCCTCTGGATAGTAGTGAAGTTAACATTCTGAAGAGGTTTTAATTTCAAAATAAAACTTTAAGTGCTATGCAGATACTCAAAAGTTCTTAAACACACTCTAGTACATGGGTAGGAGGCTTAAATATTGCATAAGTTTTTTTAAATCCTTTTCAACATTTAAATAAATTTTTTCTTAATAATTTATAGAAAGAATAGTTGTCCATCTTGCTAAATGAATTACCATATATTCTGTAGCTCTCAATTAGACCTTACTCATGAAATTTAACTGACTATGTTAGGTACAACAATAAATATTAAATATGAAAGTTTCTGCCTTCTAATTTTATTCTACAGCCACAACATCACACAGGTTTTATGGTAAGTCTTCCATACTCTTAATAGACTGTTGTGCTGTGCACCAACCAAATCTATGAAATGATATTTTCATGAGGTAAATTTAATTTATTTAGAATAAAGAGAAATATATAATGGTTCTTTTTAAAGAGAAAAAAAAGCATAAAGTTTTACGATAGAAGGTTTACCTACTTTGAATAAAAGTGATGAGTAAAAAAGGCAATATAATGAAGATGGACTATGAAAAATCTCTTAAGACTAAAAAAACCATCATGAATAGGAACCATATATGTCAAGAAATGAGATGTCTTATTGACTCCTATTTTCTGTAAGTAAAATTCTGAAAAGACTGATAACTTTTCTAATATCATCCAGTTAAAAATTAAATTTCTTTAATTATAATGTGCATGTTCCTTCCACTTCATATTGCTTCTGCTTTAATGAAAAATTTTAATGATAAGTGTGGTAATAATAGCAATAACAATAAAACTGACTTTCCCCTCTGTTTGTAATATTTTTACCTCAAATACTTCCAGGATTTGCTACCTCTCTCCATTCAGAACTTTGCCTCAATGCAACCTCATCAAAGTGACCATCTCCAATTACCTTATATAAAATATCAATTCTCTGACTTAAAAATAAACTGAAGCTAAAAGAAGTTAATTAACTTAGCTTGTATAGGCCACTTAGAATAAGGATTTGAAGCGAGGACAGTCTGACTCCTCTATTCTGAGCACTGTACTAACCTGGCTGCCATCTCAAATGTACTGAATATGTTATTTTCCCTTTAAAGGGCTTATCTACCCTACATTCTATGTGATTCTGATAGGTCTTTCAATTACAGTACTCTGTATCACAACAAAAAAGCACATGACCTAGGAGTAATCAATCACAGTGTCTCTACCAACAGAAACAGTGATTAGTCTTAACGTGGGAGAATGAACAAAGCAGGACAGCCAGCATCTTGCTCTAGAATTTATTCACAGATCCAAGAAGAAAGTTTTCTTTCCTTTGCGTTGGCTAAGGCAAAATGATATCAGCCTAAAACCAACAGCAATCATCTTGCTAAACCTCATAGAGGTAACCTACCCACAGTAGAAAGTGATGATACTGGGGATGAGGGCACTGGCAAAGACCCTCTCCCTAACTAAATTCTAGCTAGACTCCTCTGAGTCTTCCTCTCAAGTAGGACTCAACCTTGATCTATAAAGATGAACTAATCCCCAGCACTGAGGAAAAGAAGGGGAAGCTAACATTGTTTCTAAGACCTCAAGGACACATCCCTAGAATGACTCTACCAACTCTTAAAGTGCCTATCTAAGAAAACCCAAGAATGTCAAAAAATTTACTATTTATTTCAGCCAACACCTGATGATAGAATCCTCGACTCCCATCCTCTGTGTAAGGGAGGTGGCCTAATTTCAGTAAGTGCCAGTTAATAAACCTATGGGTTTCACATGGACCAACCCCACTTTCCCGCTTTTAGTAATTTTTCATTTCCCTGATTCTCCTTAGCCTTTACTCACTCTCCTCCCTGTCCCTCATTCACCCTTTAAAAGGCCGTCACGTCAATACAAAGTGAAGTTGAATTCAGTTCAGACTGGACTTTTTCCTACTCCAATAATATATTACTGATTAAAAATCTTTCCTTACCACTTTAATGTGTGGATTTGTTTATCTTTGACAGTAGAGATAGGATCTATCCAACCACAGGCTTCCCAGTTACATAACCCAGTAAATTTCCCTTTTTGCTTGAACTAGTTTAAGTTAGATTTCTGCTATTTATAACCAAAAGACTTAGAAGGCCTAATGAAAACAATAAATGCCTATAATCCCAGCTACTCAGGAGGCAGAGATCAGGAAGATCAAGTTTTAAGGTCAGCCCTGGACAAATAGTTCATGAGATCCTATCTCAAAAGTACTCAACACAAAAAAGGGCTAGCAGAATGGCTCAAGTTGCAGAGCACCTGCCTAATAAGCAAGAGGCCCTGATTTCAAACCCCAGTACTGTCCCCTTCCCCCACAAAAAAGAGAAAAACCCAAATATTGGAAAGGAATACATAAATGAGGGTGATGAAATCTGAGTTATGAATCAAAGAGAACAGATAAAGAAACTTATATAATAGACATAATTGATTTAGAATTAGGGACTATTTCTGGCAATGAGTCAAACATAGCTAGGCTACACAGTAGGCTACAGAGGATGTTTAAGAGCACCACAAGAAACCTTGCATGACTACAGATGCTGAGTACATTAGGAACAAGAAGGGAACTCATTGGACCCTAAATCTCAGCTTGGTTCCAAATGTGTTAAAATATAAGTGTACAAACATAACAAAATAATGCATATTCTGAGAATAACTTACACTTCTCAGAAATTATTTCAACTGCCTACTTTGTTCAGAACAAGTTTCCATTCTACAAAACAGAGAGATTTGCTACAGGGAAGAAGTAAACTACATGGCAGAAAGGCCCTTACTGAGGGAAAAGCATTTGTTTGGTAGGGTTCCACAGCACTATCTGTTACTCCCATAGATGGAGTCTGATTGTGGGGAAGAACATGTTACAGGAGGAAACTGAAACAACTCTGTGACATAGATCAAATTCTCTGAAGAAAAAAAGCTCTTCCAAACAGCTGCTATCCCCTAAAAGGATGAGAACTTCAATTTCAACTAGTCTGCCAGCACAGTAACTAATTCCTAGAAAGCTATGGCTAAGGAAAACTGTGCTTTCTCTGAATGACTACCTCTATATACGCTGAAAAACCTCCTTATCACCTAAAATGCTGGGTTTTTTTGTTTTTTGTTTTTTTTTTTTTTTTTGCTTAAGCTAGATCAAGGATGCCAAATCAAATAAGTAGATTTTCTATTATTTTTATTACTTGTTCTAGTAGATTAGAATTTGCATTTATTGACAACTTTAGGACCCTAAGTACACAGTTACTCAAGCTATTGCTCTTTATGATATTACAAAATGGATTTTAAAAAATTAAATATTGAATGTTACCATTGAAAATGAAAATGAAAATCGTTTACCTTGAAATTTTCTGTGATCAGAGTAAACAACTTGGTTGAATTCCCCACAACACAAGCAGTATTTGACATTATTATTTCCAAAGGTGATAAAATTTTGAGTTTAGTGATCACCTGAAATTGTTGGAATAATCATTTTCTTAAATGTAAATTTAAGATAATCACTAATCACTAACAGAGTTTCATATTTTTTGAGACGTTAAGTACTTAAAATTAGTTCAAAGTAAAGTTCTAATAGCCTTAATTATATTTCATATTTCAGTTAAAAGACATTTCAAATGATAATGTATTAAACATGTTCTGTATAAGTACAAATACAAAATATCATCATAAACAAAGACTATATTTGATCCAATTACAAATATTTTAAACATAATCTATGATGCTATTTTTAGTATTTTGTTTGAAATAACTTTTATAAATAGAGAGATTGGGAGTACACTACCTCGTAGACCACACAAATTCACATAACAATTTGCCAAAGGCCCAAAATCATGGTGAGTGATATAAAATGAAGGCAAAGTAAGAAGTAAAGCAAGAAGTTAACATACTAAATTATGGCTATCTAAGGTATTAGTTTGTTTTAATTCTAGAAAAATGAAATTCAAATATAGTTTCAGCAGAAAGAACCCTCTAGAGATAAGGACTATCATATGTTACCTTTGAAATGAGTCCAGGAATAGTTAATTTGAAGATATTAAATTGAGAAATTATATTAACAGTAACTTTGTCTTATTCAAGTAACAAAAAAATTTACATTATTTTTAGGATAAATATATTTAAAAATAAAAATCATATATAGAATGGTTTTATTTTATTTTTGGTGGATCAGGACTTTGTGCTTGCAAGCAGAAGCTCTACTGCTTGAACCACACATTCAGTCCATTTTGCTCTGGTTATTTTGGAGATGGGTTTTAAGAACAATTTGTCCTGGCTGGCCTCAAACCTCCATCTGATTTCAGTCTTGCCAGTAGCTAGAATTACAGGTGTAAGCCACAGGTGCCCAGCTAAAACAGTTTTATTTTAATTCAAAATATTTTTACTGGAATGCTCATGATTAACTTTTATCCTAGCAAAAAGTAAACTAACTAGAACAGCGCTGTCATGTAAATCTGCATATGCCCATTATATCAACAATTTGAGGATTCTTAATACTTACCTTTGTATATATTGTATTATCTGCAAACTGGGATAGTATAATTTGTGGGCTTTTTATATCAATACTTGCCATCCCTATCTCACCTCTGGCAAGTCCTCTCCCTTCTACCACAGCAACAATAACCGATGGGGCATGTGCAGAAACTGCAGAGGAGGATGTGGCTATAAGAATTTTGAAACAAAGAAAATAATATATTAACACTTGTTCACATAATACTTCAAAGACCCAATTCTAGTTATTTTAATAATACCCAAGGATGGAAATAATTTTTTCTCATCAAAAAATAACTTTTCATTATACAAACCAAATAAAAATGTTAACTCTCAAATTATTTTGCCAAAACTTAACTTCATTTTTTTCTTTTTTTTTTTGGCAGTTACTAGGGTTCAAACTCAGACCTTAGTGCTTTCTGGGCAGGCACACAACCACCTGAGTCATGCCTCCAGCCCTTTTAGCTTTAAGTTATTTTTCAGATAGGGTCTCGCTTTTTTTGCCTGGGTTGGCCTCTGACCACGATCATTCTACTTATACCTCCCAAATCGATGGGATTGTAGGCATGAGCCAACAGGCCCAACTTATTTATTGAGATTAGGTTTCGCTGACTTTTTGCCTGAGCTATCCTCAAACTGCAATCCTCATAATATCCACCTCCATGAACCACCATACCTGCCTTTAGCTCACGTTTTGAATAATAAATTTATATATTGTCTCATTTTGCCTTTTATTGGAATGGAGTCATTACAGAAACTTTTAACTTGGGATCAAAAAACATAGATCACTTACTTTACTGTCATTTAAAAACTATTTGAATTGGGGCAAAATATTTCATGATAAATAATCATAAAGCAGAAATATAATAACTGTCCTACCTAATTTGAGAGCTGACTGAAAGAATCAAATAGTATTACATAATATATGAATATGTTATATAAAGATTACACATTATGTAACTATGAATATTATTTTTGGGATACCTAATGTGGAAATAAAAATTATAACAAATTACAACATTTATTAAGTGCTTATTATGTGTCAAGAATATTCCAGCCTGGAAGCAGGGCAGGGGGCAGGGGGAGAGGAGAGGTGGCACAAACAATATATGCACATGTAAGTAAATATAAAAACTATAAAAGGAGAAAAGAAAAAAAGAATACTCCAAATTCTTCACTTGAATTAACTCATTTGTCAGAAAATCCTATCAAACAAGTACCATTAATTATTCCATTTACCTATAAAGAGGCTGAGGGGTAGATAGAATTGGAAGAGAAAATTTGCTTCCAGGCAGACTGTGTGTATGTGTATAAAACTGATTTTGCAATCTATGCTTTACAAACAGCAAATACTCAAATTGTTTAGCCTACCACTTGAGCCATCCCTCTAGCCATTTTTACCTTAGGTTATTTTTCAGATAGGATCTGGATAATTTTGCCCAGGCTGGCCTCAGACCACAGGTCAATTATCAATTTATTACCACTCAGTTCCAAATAGCTCTGCAACAATGGATAGCATTCTTATAAGCATTTCTCCTTTAAGGTGACCACAGTGTAAGTTTTCTGTAGAAAGCACTAGAGAAACCTTGCAGAATGAAGGGGACACACAGCCTGGTATGTCAGCAGTGTGGGTTTGAGGATATCCAGTGATCCAGGCACATGCCCAGAATACTCCATCCCTTGGTGATCTCACAGCCCTCTTGTGGCCTGGTGATAACATTTCCTCACTCCAAGCTTCCTGCCCACATGATACTCTGATTCCCTCTGTTCTCTCATTGTTCCTCAAGTTTGCCTCCCATAATCATCAAGAAGCTATTGTCTCCCAGTAGAGCAACCATGTGCGCCAAGCCTCTTACCTATAGCAGAGCTCACTCCAACTGTGCCAGTATGTGCCAGACACCACCTATATAGTTAATTCACCACAATCTGCTTCTTGTTTGCCCTGTTTTACTGCAAATGATCTCTAGTACAGCAAATCTATAGATTCTGTCATTCAGCAGGTTCAACTTCACCTTCTCAAATGAGTCTGAAGCCAAACCTCAGGGAATGAGGTTTGGCAATTACTGCCTCCTTAAAAACTCAGTCCTAGGGTGCCTATAGTTTTCTTAATTCTACAGCTACTTTTTAAAATCTTAGTTTAATACTTCTTTATATTAAATTTCCCATTTAAATCCCTGTGTGTTCTATCTTTAGATTGGATTCAAACAAGTCTGTACCTTCAGTGGACTTTTAGTCCAGAAAAGAAGAGAGAAAATTAAAAGAGCAATGTTAGTGAAATGTACAGTGAAATGGAAGCACAAAAAAGAGGAACTTAACTTAAATTCACAGGATCACAGAAGGATTTCTGAAAGGAATAACAGCTAAGCTTAGACTTAAGGAATAACTAATAGGTGATTATATAAAAAAGGGGGAAGAAATGGTTTTCTAAGCAAGCAAAGTAGCATATACAGGGCTGGCTGGGTAGCTCAGTAGTACAGCATTTGCCTACAGTACAAGACCTTGGGTTTGATACCTAGCACACACACCAAAAAAACCAAAACCAAAACAAAACAAAAAGCAAGCATGCTTTAAAGCCATATGGTAAATGAAACCTCTAAATGTACAAAAAAAAAGTTCAGAATGGCTAAAATGTGTAACACAAGTGAGAAAATTGTATGAGATGCTACAGCAAAATTGTGCAGTTCCTCATAAATGATATCAACATAAAACTTGATCTTAACAGCAATGGGAAAAGTAATGGATGTGGACAGGCGCCAGTGGCTCAGACCTGTAATCCTAGCTACTAAGAGGCAGAATTCAGGAAGACAGAGCTTGAAGTCAGCCTGGGAAGCACTTTGTGAGACCTTATCTCAAAAATATCCAACACAAAAGCAGGGCTGACTGAGTGGCTCAAGTGGAAAACCACCTGCCTAGCAAGTGTAAGAGTGTGAGTTCAAATCCCAATACCACCAAAAAAAGAAGAAAAGGAAGGAAAAGAAATAATGAGTGTGGTATGGTATCTATTATGAGCTGAATGCTGTGTGTGTCCTCAAAATTCGTATGTTGAAGTTCTAGCCCCTGGTACAAAAGAATGTGCCTATATTTAGAGACTGTTTGGCCTTTAAAGAGATAATTAATGTTAAATGGGGTCATTAGAGTGGGTCCTAATCCATTATGAGAAGTGTCCTTCCAATTAGTGAGAGGAATTTAAGACAAATACATAGAGATGTCATGTGAGGAGACCAGAAAAAAAACTATCCATCAGCAAGTCAAATAGAGAGGTCTCAGAATCAAGTAAACCTGCCAAAACATTGATGTTGGACTTCTAGCCTTCAGAACTATGAGAAAATAAATTTCTGTTGTTTAAGTCAAGCAACTTTTGGTATTTTGTTGTAACTGCCCCCAAAAACTAACTATAAAAGTAAACTAACAAAAATCAATTGTATTTTGATATACCACCCAAAAACATATATACAATGTAATTGCTAAAACACAATAAAATAGCCACAAAAATTACAAGGTATTATTGTGGTTTGGATATGAAATATCCCCAAAGGTTCATGTGTTGAAGGGTTTGTCCCCAGCAAGTGGTGCTACTGAGAGGTCACTGGATCATAAGGGGACTGACTATTAAGAGTTCATAGCTGAATAGGCTATTAGAAGATGGACCTGGTTGAAGTAAGGAAGTCACAAGGGACATGCCATCTTGAAGGGGACATTTTAGACCCAGCCCCTTGCTCTCTTCCTTCTTGGCTCCTGTCCACCATGTGGTGAGTAGCTTTGCTTTGCCATGCCCTTTGCCATATGTTTTGCCTTCCCATAGGTCTAAAATGATGGGTCCAAGCAACCATGGACTGAAATCTCTGAAACTGTGAGCCAAAATACATCTTTCCTTCTTTAAGTTGATTTCTCTCAGGTATTTCATCACAGCAATGAAAAGTGAACTAACATCAATACCACAAGCAACAAACAATAAAAATGTATAAAATTTGATGTAGAAAGTTATAAAGCTTTATAGAAAAACATTAAATAAGACAAATTAAAAGGAGAGGTGTGCCATGCTTATGGATATAAAAACTCAATATTTCAGTTCTATTTATTTATTTTCACCCACACACATCTTCAGTTCTATTTAAAAGGATCTATTGGTTCAGTACAAGTACAGTTTCTATAAGGATCTCAATGTGCTTTTTGGTGGTCCAAAACTTATATGGAAAAGCGAAGGACCGAGAAGAGAAAATATTCTTCTAAAGAACAATAATCTAGGCATGGTGGGTCATGCTCCTAGTATCAGCACTCAAAGAGGTTGAGGCAGAAGGATTATGAGTTCAAGGCCAGCCTGGCTTACATAGTGAGTCTGGGACCAGCCTGAGTTATACAGAAATACCCTGCCTTTTGGAGGAGGACGAGAAGGAGGACCCTGTCAGAAAGGGACATGACTGCCACATCAAGTAGCAACAATAAACAGGCAATATTCTGAAACACTCAGGAATTTAATCAACACTCACCACAGCCTCAAAGCCCACTCCCAGACACCACCCAGAAAAGGACACAAATCCCAACTAAGTATTTCTAATGAGCATAGCAACTGATCCATTCCATGGAACCCTCCTGCAACCCTCTCCTATTGCTAACCTCAAATAATACCTTCTGTTCAAGGAATATACCCTGTCACCCAGCCAAATCACAAGTGATTGTAGTGCCCATATAGCAGCTCAGTCTAAGTGTAGAGCTCACCAGTGATCTTGCTGAATAGCAGAACTTAGTCATCTGTTCCACCTGAATTCAGGGGAAAGCAGCACCTAGTCACCTAGAGCACATGAAAGCAAGCTCTCCCTGCATAAGAGTATTACTAACTGGCCCATCCAGGCCCATAGGCTAGAATAAACAGTAAGGGTCTATTCTTGTCAAAAATACCTATGAAAGCCAGAAAAGGTGGTTATCTCTGTTGGGGCAAGCACCAATGTAAGTGAACAGGATTCCAAAAACTCGGGAAATCATACCTCCAAAAGAAACTTGCAAAGCTTCAACATAAAACCCAAAGAAACAGATATCTATGAAATGACAGAAAAATAATTTAGAATAATTCTCTTTAAAAAGTTTAGTAAACTCCAAAAATATACAGATAAGAATTAATGAAATTTAGAAAAGAATATATGAGCAAAATAAGAAAGTTGACAAAGAAATAGAAGCAGTACAAAAGGAACTACAAAAGATGAATAGAATTACTACACATAAAAAGGTGATAGAAGTTAAGTCAATGGCTCATGTCTATAGTCCTAGGTACTTGGGAGAAGACCTGTCCTGAATGTAGGCAGCAACACCAACAGCCTAAGGGCCTAGATGGAAAAAACAGCAGAAGGGGGCGGGGGGTCACATGTGCATGCAAGCTCAAGTCTTCTTGAGCAGGTGCATTTTTTGCAGCTGCCATCACCCGCAGACATCACACTCAGAATTTTTCAACCATGCAATGCAAATTCACACTGGTGACTCCCTAGGGAACTACAGGCCTTCAGCCTCAGACTGAAACTACATCATTTGTCCCTCTTCTTTTGAGGTTTCTAGTTCAGGGACTGAGTAGGTACTGGTTTCCTGAGCTTTCTAGCCTGCATATGGCCACTGGGAAAATATCTAGCTTCTGATCATGTAAGCCAATCTAATAAATATCCTTTATAACTACATATACATTCTATTGGTTCTGTTCCTTTAGAGAAATAATACATAATACACAATTCCTTTCACAACACCAAAAAAAAAAAAACAGTCAAAGTAAGTGGTTTACGGATGTAGCTCAGTAGAAGAGCACTTACTACCTAACATATGTGAGACCCTGAGTTCAAGTCCCAACTCTGAACAAAACAAACACAAAAGCAAATAAGACTTATGTTGTAAAGTGTGGTGGCAGATGCATGAAATTCCAGCACTTGGGAGGTCTGGGCAGGAAGATCATGAGGTCAAAGCCAGGGTGGGCTACATAGTGACATGCAGTCTTAACAAATGAATAAACAAAGTATGTAGGAAAAACATTTAATCAAGAAGTTAAAAAATTTCTACAATGAAGATTTATGAAACATTGGTGAAAGAAAGTGGAGACTAGGAATAAATGAGTTTTTCCATGTTCATGGACTGGAAGAATTATTATTATTAAAATGTCTATAATGACCAAGGCAATCTACAGATCCAATGCAATCCCTATCAAAGTTCCAATGTCATTCCTCACTAAAACAGAAAAAACAATCCTAAAATTTGTAGAAAACAACAAATGCCCTAAATAGTCAAAGTAATCTTGAGCTAAAAGAACAAAACAGAACACATCACACTACCAGATTTCAAGATACACTGAAAAGTTATAGTAACCGAAATAATGTGGTATTGACATAAAAACAGACATGTAGACCAACGGAACAAAATAGAGAGCCCATAATTAATTCTATGCATTTACAGTCAATTGAATTTTCACAAAGGTGCTAAGAATACACAATATAGAAAGAGCAGTCTCTTCAATAAATGTTGGGACTAGCATATATTAACAGACAGAGGAATGAAAACACTCTTTCACCACATACAAATGTCAACTCAAAAGGGATTAAAGAGGAAATTTTAAGACCAGAGATGATATTGTCACAAAGATATATATGTGTGTATAAATCAAACCATTTGCCCAGAATATATAAGGAACTGCTCAAAATTAAAAAAAAAAACCCTAAGGAATGAGCAAAAAGATAGGAACTGATTTCATAGAAAATTAAAGATATGGGGCTGGGGATGTAGTTCAGTGGTAGAACATTTGCCTAGTTATATGTGAGGCTGTCAGTTCAATCCTAGCACCATAAGAAAAAAGAAGAAATACTGTAGTTCAGTAGCTAGGTATGGTGGTGCAGACCTGTAGTCCCAGCACTTGGAAGGCTGAGGCAAGAGGATCCTGAGTTTGGGCAGCCTGGACAACTTAGTAAGACCCTGCCTCAAAATATAAATAAATTAAAAGGGCTTGTGATATTAGTGGTAGAGAACTTGTCTAGGCCCTACGTTCAATCCTCAGTACTGGGGAGGAGAGAGAAGTCTGACAAAATGGATGTTGAAGAGGACTCTTGTACATTGTTAATAAGACTGTATATTGGAAGAACTATAGTCATGTGTTGTTAACAATGGTGATAAATTCTGAAAAATGCATCATTAGCTCATTTTATCATTATGTGAACATCATAGAATATATATATATATATATATATATATACACGTATACACAAATACAAAATTAGATGGTACAGCCCATTATATGCTTAGGCTGTATCATATATATTATTGCTCCTAAACCAATACATGTTACTGAACTGAATACTGTAGGCAATTATAATATAAAGGTCAGTATTTGTGTATCTAAGCAATCTAACCACAAAAATGGTATACTGAAAATATTAGGCAATAGGAATTTTTCACCTCCATTATAATCTGATGGGACCATCATTATACATGCAGTATGTCTTGAAAGAAATATCATTATGTATTCCCATGTACTTTAAAAAACAATTTATAGTTGGGCACTGGTGGCTCACACCTGTAATCCTAGCTTCTCAGGAGGAAGAGATCAGGAGACTCAAGGTTTGAAGCCAATCCCAGGCAAATAGTTTGAGAAACCCTATGTTGAAAATACTAAACTCAAAAAATGGGCTCGTGGAGTGGTTCACGTGGTAAAGCATCTGCCTAGGAAGTGTGATGTCCTGAGTTCAAACTCTAGTAGAGTCAAACAATTTATAATCTTATAAATGTATACATTTACATATACCGTTACCAAGATATTTTTATGTGCCTTAGTGAACATGAAAACCTATTTTATCCATTTATCCCTCAGCAAAATCTAGATTTTGACAAATATAAAAATATATTAAAAAACAATAGTATTATCAGGATCAAGTTTTGGATTTAAATGAGAATCATATATAGAAGAGAGAGCTTTCTCTTTTTTATGTTTTTTTGTCAGAATTGTTGAAATAGCATGACTGAATTTATTAACAAACAGTATTAGAAAATGCATAAACTTTATTAATCTACTCTGAAATTATGGATACAGGTCAATTGATATAGTTATCTGCCAATCATCCATATCAATGGTAGATAACATTAACTTAATCACCCTACATTACAATTGACAAGAGTTTAAAAGTTTCAAATGAACATCAAGGTTAATCTTTCACTCACTTTACCTGAGTAACCTATCTGTGGTGTCCAACTTTTACAACCTGATCTCTGGAGATTTCCAGCAGACAACGGAGGAGTTTTAAGTACTTGTGGATAACTGGTATCTTGTGCAGAAGATGAGCTTGTACCAAATGTAAAACTGGATGCTACTATGTTTGCTGCATAAGATCTTTTGTTTCCCAGATATGAACCTAAATTTGAAAAATTAAGTATTACTTTTTAAAGATTAGAATTATGCAATGATCTTTATAATGTCCACTTTCTATAAAACTTTATTTGATAATGATTTTTTTGGTGATACTGGTGTTTGAATTCAGGGCTTCATGGTTGCTAGGTAGGCACCCTCTACCACTTGAGCCACTCTGCCAGCTGTTTTTATGTTGGGTATTTTTGAGATAGGGTTTCACGAACTATTTGCCCTGGTTGGCTTAGAACCACCATCCTCCTGATCTCTGCATCCTGAGTAGTAGCCTGATAATGATTTTTTAAATACAACAAATTAAGTTTAATGACAATTGATAAATTTTACAAAATATGCTCTATTGCTTTTGCTTCTGTAAATTCATTGAGGCTGTTCTTGCTAAAATCGTAAGTTACCTTCTAATATTCAAATATGTCAGATGGGTTTAAATTATTCAGGCCACTTTTTCTCCTTTAACTTCCTCATTGAAACTCTCCTTCCATGCAAATCATACAGTTTTAGACTCACTTGACTTCAGTTCCTTTTTAGGTACTTACCTATTGATAAGTTACATATTTTAGTGTTATCGTAAATTTGAAATAATATACATAATATACACTATGCCACACTTAGCATAGTGTCTGGCACATAGACGTTCTAAAAAAAGAATCAAGGTTCTTTTATCCTATTTTCTTTTATTTCCATGACAACTCTCTATCTTGGTTCTTAAACTACTTATAGTTTCCTTTGCAGATTCCTTTTCTTCTGTCTTCCTCTTATTTGTTTGGGTCTTGCTATATAGTCCAGATTGGCCTTAAACTTGAAATCCTCCTGTGTCTTGAGTCCTGAGATTATAGCAGTGTATCACCATGCCCAGCCTTCTTCTGTCTTTCTCTTAAATGTTGGTTTCCAGGGTTCCATATGTTTAAATTTTCTTTTACAAGACAAAACTAAACATTTTCTCTGGGCATCTCATCCATATTGGTTTCCATTAACATAATTTCTTGACATACAGCCTTGACTCCTTTCTTACACTGTAGACCAGGGATTGGTAAGCTTTTTAATAAAGGGCCAGATGGTAAATATTTTAAGGTATGTAGACCACATGGTCACTGTCACACTCAACTCAGACACTGTAATAGGGAATGCAGCCATAAACAATATACAAATGAATATGCATGGCTGTGTATTTTAATAAATCTTTCTAATAATTGAAGTTTAAATTCCATATAACTTTCACATGTCACAAAATAACATTCTTTAAACTTTTCAACCCCTTAAAAATGCAAAAACCAGCTGGGGGTGTGCTCAAATAGTAGAATGCTTGCCTAGTAAGTGTGAGACCTTGATTTTAAAAAACCTAGTAGTCCCTAAAAAAATGGGGGCGCTGGGGAGCAAAAACCAGCAGCCACTACCACATGTGACTATTTGATTAAATAAAAATAATAATTAAGTTACTCAGCCATATTAGCCTCATTTTAAAGCTCAAAAGCCATGATTGGCTACTGGTACCTTACTGGACAGCAAAGATAGAAAATTCTGTCAGACATTGTGGCTCTTGTATCTAATTACTTCTTGGACATTAACTTTTACATGTCTTCTCAGAAATTCTGAATGTCCAAAAGTGAATTAGTTATCTTTCCCCCAAATTTATTCTTTTTTTTATTACCAGTGATGGTTAACTGCAGCATTTCATATCATCCAAGTCATAAACTGAGGAATCATTAACTCTTGTCAATCCTAATACCCAATCAACTGCCAACTCCTATAATTTTCTGTTTTGTTTTGTTTGTGACAGGGTCACATTATCTAGTCCAGCTGTCCTGGAACTTGCTGTGTAACCCAGGCTGGCCTTGAACTCTCAATCTTCCTGCCTCAACCTCCCAAGTGCTGAGATTACACACTTAAACAACAAAGCCTGACTCTACTTTTTTAAAAAATCATTAAAACTTTCCATCTATCTCTACCTCTACCAAAACACTTAAAGCCTGTACCTTTTTCAGGATTATTCTTTTTTTTCCTAATATTATGCCTCTTTAATCCATTATTACATCATCATCAATGATCTTCTTGGAAAACAAATTTGATCACATAGCTCTTTCTTAGATTCCTAAGTGTTTCTACATACCCACCACAGGATAAACGTTATCTTTTTTGTATGGGTTCCAGCAAAAATCAGACCTAAACTAGGACAAATTTAAGAGACTTTCACAAAGGCAATATTCAAAGGTGTGGATAGGGTTAAGAGGTATCATCGTAAAAAAGTATATCAAATCTGAGTAAAATATGGTCCATGAGAATCCCCAGGCTTAAAGAAGCTAAGGAAAGGAGTGAATACCAGAACAGGAGATAGCACTGTTTCTTGTCCTCAGGCTACTATTAGATTCTAAGCCCTTTCTTGTCTTAGTTCTCCTCCAGCTTCTCTGACATATATATTTTGCTGTATTTTCTTCATATTCTTACCTTGGACTCGAATATACTGGTGACTTTGAAATCTGTAAGTTTCTCTTCTTAGCTCTAGATCAGTATATTCAATAGTCTTAATATGAATACTATATCCTAGAGGCTCTTCACACTCATTATGTCCATAAAAGAATAAATTATCTTCTCTCTAAAAGTTGCTGCTCCTACAAAAGTCACCATAGCAAGAAAGAGTACTACCTTCTATTCGGTTACCAAAGGCAGAGGATACCTGGTGTTTGCATTCAGGATAAAACTTACTTGCTTTTCAGATCTAGTTCCTGCAAGTACTCCATATTTATCTACATCAGATCACCTCCTGCTCTAGTCAAACAAAATTATTTGTAATTCTACCTGCTTCCTCTGTGCCTTTGCAAATATTTTTCTTTCTCAAGAATGCTCTTCAGTCTGCGTAGCAGTGACTTGCGCCTGTAATTCTAAGTGCTTGGGAGGCAGAGATCAGAAGCATCGAGACTCAAAGTCTCAAAGGCAGTAGTTTGAGAGACCCTATCTCAAAAATACACAATACACACACACACACACACACACACACACACACACACACAAACACACCAGTACACCAGTGCCCTGAGTTCAAATCCTAGTACAACCAAGAAAAAAAAGAATGTTATTCAGTTTCCTTCCCCTCCTCCTTTCCTGTTTCTGGCATTCTTCGTCCTGCTTATCCTTTAAGACCAGCTCAAGTTGCACCTACTTTGTACAATTTTTTTCTCACTTTTGATACCCACTTTTCTTGTAAATATCTTGAAAATTTGTTAATACTTTAAATATAGTTGCATTTTAAAAGTGCATTTGTGACCAGGTATAGCAGTACACACCTGTAATCCCAGCTACTTGGGAGGTGCAGGCGGGAGGATCACAAGATTGATGCCAGCCTAGCCAATTTATGGAGACCATGTCTCAAAGTAAAATTAAAAAGGGGGAGATGTAGGTCAGTGGTAGAGTTGCCTTGCATGTGGGAAGTTCTGGGTTCAATCTTCAGCACTGAAGTGGGGGTAAAAAAAAAAGGAAAGAAGAAAGGAAAAGCCTATTTGTGGATTCCTAAATTTGTTCCCTACTGAACTATATAATTATTATTACCACTACCTAAATAATCCTTGCTTCTATTTGCAAAACATGAATAAAAAAATAAATAAATAAATAAAAACTTACCTTTAAGAATTAAAAACTTACTTTGAAGAACTACTGTGACAAAGATACCATGTACATAGTAAGAGGCTAGAACAAAGTGTGTGCACATTAGTTCCTGGGTGTTGTTATAACTGGTAAAAATGAATGAAAAAGCATCTAATGAGGAGGATTATATTGACAAGGTGAACACATTTGTCGACGGTGGAACTGTAAGTATCTCAGTTTTGTTACAAAGTAGGGTGAATATTAGGAAGTGATGGGAGACAAATCTGTAAAGATCAAAAACAGATCCCAAACAGTCTTGACACCCTTCTAAAGAGTTTGATCTTGTATCTGCAGATACAGAGCCACTGATTTACGTTGCATGGGACGTAAGATTTGCATTTTCCATATCGTAAGTAAGCTTGAGAGAGTTGGATATAACTTACACATAAAACTATGAGGGCTTGCAATGGCACAGAAATGGAAAGGCGCATAATTGCCCTGACACTGTATTCATGGCGATACAACTTTTTAACAGGGCTCAGACCTCATCTCTTCCAGATTCCACTTTTATGTTGCCTCCTGAAGTTTCTATTGACAGACTGACAGCTACCTCACACTGATTATGATTAATCAAACTCATCTCTCTATAGCTCCTTAGCCTGCTTCTTAATCACTTGGTTGCTTAGTCTTAAAGATTTCAGTAATCTGAGAATTTCCTCGCTTAAAATTCAAAGTTAACCAATACTTTGGGGGGAGGGGATTGAATTCCAGGCCCTATCACTTGAGCCCGGCTCCAGTCAGCAGCTGGGCATACAGGCTGCACCATATGGTCTGGGCATACAGACCATAAAGGCCTGGTCTTTATCTTTTAATGAGCTGAACTCACCCTGAAGGATTTACTTTTTAATAGTAAACATTCATCTGGATTAGAGGAAATGTTCAAGTTAATCTATTTTCACCCTATTGCCTTTATAGACGTGTGTTTCCGCATGACTCAGCCAGCCACCATCACGGTGTCAGGCCTTCCAGACGCCCAGACCCATCCAGGTGCCGCTCGCTGCGGTGACCCACGCGTCCCCGTCTGTAGGTCCTGCCCGCGGGCGTCCTCCCTCCTCCGCGGGCGCCCGCTTGCCTCGCTCTGGACAGGCGCATGGCGGCCGACCGGGAAGGCTGCTGCTGCCGCTGCGATCGCCCGCCACCCCAGACGAGCCAGGCGGGGACGTCCACGCCGAGGGGCAGCTCTGAGGAGTCTCCTGGACCCCGACGCCGTAGTGCGGCCGCTGCGAGGGAGCCTGTCGTGACAAGGGGGAAGCCGTGGGCGGGGAGGGCACGGCTGACGAGGTCTCGGGCCTCAGCATCCTCCGAGTTTGCCGGGCATGCGGAAGTCTCCGGACGCCCCCTCGTGCAGCCAAGGCGGAAGCGGAACCACTGAAAAGGGCGGGAGGATGACGCGCAGGCGCATGGAGCGCATGGAGCGCATGGCGCCGGGGCCGGCCGCCTCCTCGGAACTTGCTGCTCATGGCTGTTCCGTCTCCCCGACATACACCTGAACCTAACTGGAGATTTGTATGGCACTTCTCAATGGGCAGGTATCCATCAGCCCGTCCATGACTCCCACGTAGCAGCCCCATTTTCCTCACAGTGATGAATGCAAACAGTACTTCAGCTTTTCTCACAGCCGAAGGTTGTGGTTTTCCCTTTGGTACTGGGGATGGAACCCAGGACCTCACAGGCAAGTACATTCCCATTTTCACCCCCCACCCCGTTCTTGTTTTTAAACAGATTGTGTAGCATTATGCACCTAGTCTGATCGTGAAGATCTTAAGATTGCAGAGGCTCTATTATCAGAAGCTAGCAGGCAATGGCTGCTTGGCGTGAGAAAGCAGCCATTTCTCTGCTTGGCCAGAGAAAGATGGGTAAGATCCCCTGGGCAGGTCAATTATAGTTACCAACTCCCACTTCCTAATACTGTAATTGCGACTCACATAGCACAAACTCTAAGCTCAACTTTACAATAGTGACCTTTGGGAAAACTTTACATCTCTCTAGTATGGCAATATACTATCAATTCACTGGTGGCAGGATTGAGGAAATATTAAAAAATTCTCTGGGTATTGTTATAGACCACCAGAAAACATTCACACCAGTACTGAATTCCTGCAATAAATATTTCCTGTCAGCAACATATTGCCTAATTCACACCCACAATGACTGCAATTCTTATTCTTGTAGTTATTACACTGAGAACTCTAGTTTAACACTTTACATCAAAAACTCATTAGAAATTTACCTTACTTTTACGCAAACCATTAAAGGCCAAGAACAGTTGGGCTCTTTGAAGAAAATGTGTTCCGTGAAGTACAGTGCTTGCCAAGCATCATGGTGTAGCCTAGCTGAGCCTTACTAAGGTCTCAAAAAATTGTACCCAAAAAATTAGATAGCATTTGTTCCCCTCAATGCAGATACTTTAAAGTGAGAGGCCAATAGAAGGGGACCAGGAACTAGAGAAAAGGTTAGTTCAAGAATTAATTTAGAAGGTAACACACATGTACAAGAAAGCAATGCGAGTCAACTCCCTGCATAGTTGTCCTTATCTCAACTAGCAAAATCCCTTGATCCTTCCTATTATTGCTTATCCTCTCTCCAACAAAATTAGAGATAAGGGCACAATAGTTTCTGCCTGGTATTGAGGGGGTGGGGGGAGAGGGAGGGAGCAGGGTAGGTAAGGGAGGGACAGAGGGAGAAATGACCTAAACATTGTCTGCACATACAAGAAAACAAAATTGTACCTATTAACCACTTAATGTGCTTCCTTTTCAGTGCCCATCACTGCACAAAACTGTTTTCTCATTAGAAGGAAACAATCCCTTGTGCAATTCTGACTCAAAAACAAGTACAGCTGATGAAACCTATACATATATACAAGGAAATGTCACAATGAAACTCCCTGGTATAGCTATCTTATAACAGAAATGCCTTTTCTTTTCAAAAGCTTTGAACAGGAAGGTAAAACAGGTCCTGTCTGGCAGATGTTACCAGTGTGTGCGTAAGCGGGGGAGTGGCGATACAAGAAGAGGGCGTATGTACTGCAAATATTGTGTAGTAACGTGTGAAAATGGAAAAAGACATGTCAAAACTATTCCAGGATTGAAGGGAAGGGGAGATAGAGAATGGAGGGAGTGTTTAACTACAATATATTTTAAAAACTTTTGTAAATGTCACAATGGATCTACAGTACAATAAAAAAACAAAACAAAAAAACTAGAAAAGTTTTTGAGGTCCAAATTACAAACCTATTTCAGTGTGGTGAGTTGCCATTTACTTTTCACCAGCCCAACCTGACCAAATTCAAACTTTCCAAATTTCAACAGCCACTTATTTGTGTATCTTTTAATTCATGTGAGGTTTATCCACTTCTATTAACATTATCACTGACACAAACCAATTTACAGTTAACTATTGTTAAACACAGAAAGAGAGAAAAGTAGAACTGAGGTTAAGTTTGTTGCTATGGAGACAACAGATCTTATTAGTGTGTGTGTACACATATACACATTCACAGAAAAGAAGCTACTCAGAACAGCATTTCAGAAGAACTAAAACTGAAAATACAATACAGGTCCTTTATTTTACAGTATATATAATTATAATTTATTAATTTAACATAATATACAAAATATTAACAGTGGTCACTTTTAGAATTGATAAGCACTTGAAATACAGAAATGTTGCAAGGTGGTTCTGTTGTGTAATGGATACAGCACTGGACTTCTAGTAACAGAAATGTTCAACTGCCAAAGTGCACTAAGATCTTTTCCATCAATGAAACTAGCTCACTAGTTCAGGTTGAACATTCACTCTCTGAAGCACTTCTTCAGGCATGCAAAAGACAGGACTAACAGGTTTAATCTGTTCTTCTCCCAAAAGTGACAATCCGGCAATACCAAATAATGTATGAAAAGGGTCCACCTATTAAAAAAAAACCAGACCATTACAAAATAAAAGCCTCTTTAAAAAAGAAAAACAACCCTATTCACAGATACTTATAATATTGAAGTTAAATCGCAAAAGATTATTTTTTATCGCTTTCAAAGCCACACTCAGATCAGTCACTGGATGGACCATTCTACATTCGAAAATACCTAAGAACCATGCAAGTAATCCAACACTGAAAAAACTAAGTTTAAAAGTGTCTGAAATATACTTGCCATATCTCCTGGCCTGTCTGCAAAGCCACCAGTTTCTTCATCTTGACATGCTAAGATGAAACTACGAAGTTTCTCTCTATCAATCCAATGAAGTCTTCCAATTATCTTCAGGGAAGCCAGAACCCACCATGAATAGCATACATCTGGTAACTGGAAGAGAAAGTCAAGAAAGTTTTATTCTTTTATTTCCTTAGTTGAGGAATAATTTCAATAACCTTAATCATGCTCAAACAGAAGAAAATAAAATCAAGGGATTTACTGTTTGAAATGCTTGTTCAGAATATTCAGTGGGGTTGTACAAGGTGGTAGAATTCTAGTTCTCAGGA